TGGCACTGTAGCTCAAGTGGTAGAGCGCTCGCCTTGAGCTGAAGAGCTGAGGGACAGCACCCAAGCCCAGAGTTCAAGCCCCATGACTGACAAAAAAAATTAAAAATAAAGTTCAGGAGGCTCAGGAATGTGCGCATCCTCTGAATTTCAAATTCAGAGATTTTTGCCATGCAGCAAAGTTTTCTCTACCATCTGCCATTACAGAAATGGCAAATGAAATTGTCCCATTTCTCAAAAGAAGCCAAAACCTAGATTCTATTTTTCTTTTTTAAAAAGCAAATTTTCCCAAATTGCAAATGTTGGCTTCCTCCCCTTCCCAACACAGGACTTGAACTCTGCGTCTCATCCCATCACTTGGCTTTCTTGCTCACAAACGGCACTCAATCCACACTTCCAGCCCAGCTTTTTTCTAGTTGATTGGAGATGGCATCTTCATAGTCTTCTACCTGAACTGGCTTTGAAATGAGATCCTTCAGATCTCAGCCTCCTTAGTGGCAAGAATTATAGATGAAATCCACTGATACTGGCTATGTTCACACTTTAAGAAAATTGCTTTTAAAAGAAGCCATATTAAGGCTGAAAGCTATCTTTTCCAAACTCTGGACCAAAGGCTGTGTGGACAGCTCTGTGGATGAAGGGCTAAGGGCAATCCTGTGATTGATAGATCTCTGGAGGCTTACTGGTCTGAGAATCCACCGTACATCCAGCAAAACAAAGGATGGCATCTACCCTCCCTATGAAATTCAGTGCTTTGCTAACACTTGTGCACTGTGCCTGGTAGAAATTTGTTAGAAGACTTAACCATTTATCAATTTCTTCCATGAAAAAAGAAAAAGATATTTTCTACAGTATTGTCTTGTTCTCAAATTTCTTGACTGATAAATGCTAAGGTACTTGAATCATAGGAAGAAATCTGCATTACAGAATGATTGAGGTAAACTAGCAGGTGATAAAAATAGAGTAGCCATGCTGGGCACTGCTGGTTCACACCTTTAATCCTTGCCAATGAGGAGGCTGAGATTTGAGGATCACAGTTTGAAGCCAGTCCAGGCAGGAAAGTCAATGAGACTCTTGTCTCCAATAAACGACTAAGAAAAAGATGACTGGTGCTGTGTCTCAAGTGGTAGAGCACTAGCCTTGAGCAAAAGAAGCTCAGGGACAGTGCCCAAGCCCAGAGTTCAAGCCCAAGGACCCACAAAAACAAAAATAATAGAGTAGCCATATGGTCATTTTCAAGTGTCTTCAAGAGACCATTGCACATCAAAAGGTGTTTTCAGATCCATCTATTCACCAAACACTAATTAAACACCCTACTTTTCTTTTCAGGTTCTGTGCCTAGATGCATAAGGGAAAGAGAGAGATTTAGTTCTTTTTTTTTGCGGGGGAGGGTCATGGGGCCTGAACTCTGGGCCTGGGCGCTGTCCCTTAGCTCTTCAGCTCAAGGCTAGCGCTCTACCACTTGAGCCACAGCGCCACTTCTGGCTTTTTCTGCTTATGTGGTGCTGAGGAATTGAACCCAGGGCCTCAGGCATGCAAGGCAAGCGCTCTACCACTGAGCCACCTTCCCAGCCCCTCTTTCTTTCTTTTCTTTCTCTCTTCCTTCTTTCTTTCTTTCTTTCTCCTGAGTGCTATGTCTCCCATAAGACATTTAGGTCATTAATCTTTCTTCTCTGCTAATTTCAGATCCACACTCAAGAAGTGTTCATTAGATGGTCTTGATGGACAGGAAAACTAGTGTGTCTATTTTCCTGCTGACTATTTTCAGAGCTTGGCATGAACTTGAGCTGGAAATTTGATAGTGATGTTGTGGTTGTTCATGATTCCTGCAGTCACTGCTCAACATGGATTAGAATCCACACTCGGTTGGTAAAGGTCACAGATCTGGTATCTTGCCCTTTGCGCCTTATATGAAAGGATTTTTAAAAACCCTCATTTTTCTGCTGTCTTTGAATAATTTTCTAATTTCCAGTGGATCTTTCAGCGTGACAGTGTGTGGGAAGAGAGGAATTCTGCCCTGTAACCTTCTAAGCGGTCACATGAAACCTTTCATGTGGCCTGTTTTTGGCCTTTGGCCAAACTCATCAAACATTTTCTTTCACAGAGCACCTTGTCTTGGAACTACCTGTCCAATGTTGGTGAAGTTTCTCTGATCTCCTTCCTAGAGAAAGGTGACCTTGGCATGAGGAAGATTCTTTCTAAATAGATGCTCTTATCACCACAGGAAAAGAATAGGAAGTTTGATACTCTCTAAGCTGAAAGGAGGGAAGAGATCAGTCAAAAACAATAGAGTAGGATGAAAAAAAACCTAAATATGACTCATTGACTAGTTGGGGAAAAATAGCTTTGCCTCATTGATAGTATATGTATATATTTTTTACTTTAAATTTCTTTGATTTTTAAGATTATCACTCACAACACATTCTTTATACTTAGAAATAATATAATAGCTGGAAGTGGTGCTGTGGCTCAAAGTAGCAGAGCACTAGCGTTGAACAGAAAAGCTCAGGATCAGCATCCAGGCCCTGAGTTCAAGCCCCATGACAAACAAACAGAAAAAGCTGGATGTGAAGCTGTGGCTCTAGCAGTAGAGTACCAGCCTTGAGTGAAAAACCTAAGAGACAGCACCTCGGCCCCTTGAGATTGAGAGAGAAAGAAAGGAAGAAGGGAAGAAAGAAAGAAGGAAGGAAGGAAGGAAAGAAAGAAAGAAAGAAGGGTGGGAGGGAGGGAAGGAGGGAAGGAGGGAAGGGAGGGAGGAGGGAGGAAGGAAGAAAGGAAAGAAGAAAAGAAAGAAAAAAATAAAAAGAAAGTTCAAAGGAAATTTAATATAAACCTCAGAAGACTTCATATGCTTCAGCCTGTAGTGGAGAAAGTTTCTTGGCCAGGAACA